TGATTCATGTCGACATGAGGGTAATTCGAGCGGTTCGTTGGTTGAGTAATATGCTTCTAGACCGGGTTATCCTTATGGGGCCATATCAAAATAAAATAATTAAAATTAATTTGATGTAAAAGTAGAAGAGAGATGATATGAAGTGATAGCTCATTAAAATTATGTAAGTGGATAAATAGTGAATTAAAGTTGATATGATGTTTTAAATGATTGATTGTTATTATTTAATGATTGGTTGGTATTATTTAATTATATTGATAATACTGAGGATAGTGTAATTGAATTAAAGTTGAGTTAGATTTTGAGTATAAATTAATTTGGATTGAGTAAATCTTTTTACAAACATAACCTAAAAATAAGAGGTAGAATTCACACAAACATTTCCATCTATCAAAAAATAATACTAAATACTAAATGGGCTGCGTGGGAGAAAACCAAAGAAACGCGATGAAAAAGATTAAGAGAAAGCCCACAAGATACAAAAAGACTACACCGTCAAAGGGCCCAAGAAGGAACTTGGGCTTGCGAGTCTCGAGTTAAGGATTTTAATTTTTTTAATTTACTAATAAGATGCTTGGATGAGACACGGAGACGGAGGGACTCATTTTCGGACTTTTTTTAATGATTTGAAAAGAAAAATTATCAAATTATCACTGTACACCACAAGTTCACATAAACTAGTACTAGTATCAAAGTTAAGCCAACAAAGCATAAATAAATAAACACATTAATAATCAAATTTCCCTATACCCAATGAGTAACTATTGAAAGTAATTAAAAATAAGAATCATATGAATATCATTTCTAATATAAATAAGTTCTTTTATCTCATCCAAATTCTTTAATGATGGCATCAAATTAGCTCCAAATAAAACACCTCTTACAATAAAGATCTTTTTTTCACTTTTATGTTTTATTTCTTATTTCATTTTGTTGCATAAATGACACGTGTACAAATATGTCATTATCATGTACCGTGTCATTTATTCAACGGAATGAAACACAAAATAGAAAATGAAACAAGAAATCCCATTCCAACTACGGTTTATCAGTGCAAAGAAAAAGAGAGAATAGATTTTCAAGGAATACCACAAAACAATGCTAAAGTGGACATTGCTAATCAAGAATCAGATATAAATGGGGCATCTCATATTGTTAAATAAGAGTATAAAGAATGGTAAGAGAAAGAGAGAACCCACGTTTTGTGGCATTGAGTTGGAAAGAATAAGCAAATATTCTTGACTTGAGAATCCAGCTCACCACCTTTAGCTTGAGTTTGGATACCCTTCTCTCTCTCTCAATTTTAGCCAATTATATAAATTCTTGCTTATGATGAAAATGTTATTTAAGATTCTTGTGAAGTTAAACTATGCAAGCAGGAAGTGTACAAAAATAGGAAAGTTGAAGTACAAGAAAGAATAAGTAGTCAAATCAAAGGGGGAGAATATTGCACATGCAGAGCAACTTTATAATATGCAGTAGCCAATATGGAAAAGTATAAGGTGCTTCTCATACCGTATGATCAGACGATGAACTGCAGTAATGGCTTTATGGCAACATCTGAAGAAAAGTGACTTCCGAGTACTTGTAACAGTACCATTTATGGCAATAAATTTTGGGCACCTGCAAGACACGATATAAGACAATTAAAAAACACTATACTTTCTTTGTGAGTTTGTGCAGGAATGTAGAATATTATACATCATTTGAATATAATGTAATTTGGACATGCACGAGGCTCCCTTTTTCATTATATTCCTGTCCAGAAACCAAGCATAACTATTGAAAAATTCTGCTATCCACCACTTTGTATTATAAGGATAAACAAGAAATAAAATAAATCCTCCAGAAACTGCATAAAATTTCCCAAGATACAAAAATCAAAAGACCTGTCATGTAAAGCTTGATTTCAAGTTGCAACTAAAGCACATGCACCATTTCAACATGAGAATCATGTTTTAAGATATCACTAACAATATAATGAGTGGTAAGCCCAACTGTTCTTAATTGTATGCTACCCTTCTAGTCTTCCAAATAGCAAATGAAACATAAATTAAGATATTGAGTATATCATACAAGGTTTGCAGCAAATATAGGTAAAAAATGCAAAAGTTGGACAAGTATTCGTTTATGATTGCATGAGAATTCCAGAAATAATGAGAACTCGAACGTTGTTTCATTCATAAAGTTTAGTTCAGCATAAATGCTTGTCACAGCCAAATCCGAGAGAAAATAACACGACTAATGTCTACAGTTTCATAATATGTCTTTAAATGTACATATTCCAGCATTCATCAACATCAAAGTAACACAATAATGACAAATAATAATCATACTTTGATAAATATCTCTGGGTTCATGTTCAAGTACTGTATATGCAGTTCAGTTTTAAGTCAAGGGTAAAGCAAATGGTCCACTTCTCGCTGTGTTATGATTCTGTTCCAACAAAAATTATTGAACTAAGTACTATCCTTAATTTTCTTTCTACAGATCTCTTTTTTTTCTATTTGGAAAATTTAGTAAAAGATATAACTGTGACCACACCTTTCACCATGTAACTCCAGTTTAGATTAAATAATACCAAACTTACACAAGGGGATAAAAAGGAATGTGTTCTTTATTCCATTCTTGGCTTTAAAAAGAAGCAACAAGGAAAAAACAAAGAAAAAAAAAAGATGCATTTTCTCGATATGATTCAATGCATTAGATTATATACGACAACACTGAGCATATATATCTTTTAAAACGATATTTTGAGAGAAGGATATATTTTGTAATCAACTTTCTGTATACATCAACGACAAACAAGGCAAGGAGCACGTTCTCGCTTACTAACTAGTGCTTGTATGATTCTCTAAAAACCTGCAGCATATAGCAGGTATCCTCACCTCCTGAATAAATTCCATCACTAGCATAAAGAATTTTGAAACCTTTATTTAGAGGGATCAATAAGAGTTAACAAGCGTAGAGAAGTAGAGGTTGGAGTTAAAAGGGAAAAAGGGAGCACTTAGTGATACTGTTTGGGAAAAAATAGGGAGTATTTTGAAATCACTCAAAAAAGTGATTGCCAGCTTCTAGTTGAGTGTATAATTTAATTAGAATCTTAAATTAGCAGGAAGGTGCTTTAGTTTTGTAATTTTGCTTTAGGTTTCACTTAACAATCTAATAACAGCTTATTCATCCTGATGAATTCAACTTTCAGTTTATATATTCACATGTGACCAATTTCTTATTCTCAACAGCTTGTAACTACGATAAATAACTAGTTTCTGTGAACACTCCCTATGGGTAAACTGGATAATGTGTTGAACAGTTGAAGTCTAAGCAATTCATAAGACAAACAGTTGAAGTCTAAGCAATTCATAAGACAGTTTTTTTTTTTTTTTTTTTTTTTTTTTTAAGTTTAAGCAGTTCATAATATGACCAAGGTTAACTTCTATGATAAGAAGCCTGCTAGGAAACCAAGTTCAAAGGATGCATGAACTTTGCATGCTAACCTAGTTACTTTACTGTGTCCTTGTGAGAGAAAAAAACTCATAATCACGATAGTGAATAAAAAATCACGATTGAAAACAAACTGCATATTTTACCGGAAAATATCAAGGCAGCACCGAAATCACCAGGTTTTCCCCTTCAATTGTATCCTATGCTGACTAATGCTTCAGTCAACAGAATCTTCCCTGTGAACAAATAAAGCAAAGAAAGAAAAAAAATCAGTAATTTCAAATATCGATGATAGTGGATTCCTCGATCACTTCAGAGGGATAAAATTCCACCATCCGTCCGCGGAATAAGGTTCCCAAACTTTTGCAGATCACAAATAACCAAGTGCACTGGAAAAACATAGACTAAGGTGGATCAATTCTTGTACCTGAAGTGACACATTACATTTCCTACAGTGACAGGAATATAATTTTGAATAGTGCTTCTGCTGGAGAATGGAAATGTGAGTTGATAATCAGGACCCAAATAAGCATATTGGAATGGAATATGGATCTGATGGCCTTTGAGCCTTGTCCAAGATTCTATGCCTCGCCTGTATCGTATTCCCAACCTTTTTTTTCCCTCTTATCTGCTTATAAGACATCATTCCAAATTGGAACTCTAGCATGTGAAAAACCAATCAAAATAACAACACCATTAGCATACAGTTTAAAACCATTCAGGTACTTTTTTTCTTGATAATAATCACTTATTGTATTGAATCTAACCTTCACCAAATTATAATTTTGAAGACGAAAAAAAAGAGAAAATGTATCATCAACACCATCACCACCATGGAAAGAACATTTACCAAGAAAGGAACTCATTCATTCACGGAGTGAATGGAGATTCAGGTCTTGTGCTCTCAACTGATGCTAAGCCGAGGCTGAAATGGACGCATGACCTGCACGAACGGTTTGTCGAGGCGGTTAACCAATTAGGTGGAGCAGAAAGTAAGTTTTGTGCATTATATCTGAAAATCTTGGAAGCATCAAATAGTATATGATATTGAGTTTGGCTATATTGATTTTTTTTGGCAGAAGCTACACCGAAATCAGTCTTAAAACTTATGGGAATTCAGGGGCTAACATTGTATCACCTGAAGAGTCACCTCCAGGTAAAATCTTGATTACAAAATGCGAGTATTGCTTACAGAGAAAGTGTCTCTGAAAGTCTCATAATACTTTTACTACATGAGACCAATAACATGGACCTTTCATCATGAAAACGTGCGCGCACACACACATCCCAATTTCAGATTTCAAAAAATTTCCCTCACAATATAATACATTTTTCATCAGGAACGTAGCATAAATAAACTATATTATCCGACAAGATATTTATGTGCTCTCATATATGCATGCTATAATAATCTTGATCACATTTGTTGTGTCTCTAATTTTCTGAATTTTGATTTCAGAAATATAGACTAAGTAAAAACCTAGCAGCACAAGCTAATAGTGGGAACAATAAAGCTTGTAAGGAATCCTATCTTACAGGTACATAATTTCATATTATATCTATAGTTTAATGTCTAATATATATTCAATATATTTTGCTTACCATTGGAAATTGAATGCAGCACCAGCAGATAAAGTACCTGAGGTAAATGGAACTCGCATGAATGATCCAAATATTGCAACCCAAACAACTAAGTATGACTCAAAGACCTTACTATTTGTTTCTGATATTATTGGTACGTTCATTTCATCTAATATTTTTATAATTTTGGTATCTTATATCAGAAATATACATTTGGGAGAAGCAATACAGATCCAAATTGAAGTGCAGCGAAGATTACATGAACAGCTAGAGGTATAAGAAACATATGCTCTACATTTACAAAAATCAATACTGAAATACTTTTCTGTAACTCTGAGAGGGAAAGAATTGTGACAGAAGTCATATCTTTGATAAAAGATGCATCAAAACCAAGTTAAGTGTTCATATCTTTATAGGTACAACGTCATCTGCAGATGCGGATAGAGGCCCAAGGGAAATACTTGCAGTCTGTGTTAGAGAAAGCACAGGAATCACTCGACAGGCAGAACTCAGGTACAACTGGCCTCGAGGCTGCAAAGATTCAGTTATCGGAATTTGTCTCCAAAGTATCAACTGGGCAATGCCTGAGTTCCACATTTTCAGGAATTAAAGAACACTCTGATCTACACGTGCAAACAAACCACACAACCAAATTTTCAGATGAGAGAGATTATCTTATGATGATGAATGGAGATGGTGACAATGAATTTGCAGCTGGAACGGATTTCAATAATTTATCAGTGAGCACAGGCTTTCATAACGACAATTGTCCAGAAGATGACCGACTCTTTTACCGAAACACAGATAGCAATGATTCAATTAAACACGAGAAGCATAGAATATCACCAGAAGTGAAATTTCCTTATCTGTCGACAAAACTAGACCTCAATGCCGACGGCGAAGGCAGTGTTGCTTCAGGTTGCAAGCAATTGGATTTAAATGGATTTAGCTGGAGTTGAGAGGCAATTTATCATGATAGCTACTGCTCAGCACACGCGCACGCACGCACACAAATAGAGATTTGGAGCAACAAACCTTGTGTCTTCATTTGATTATAGGCATATAATATAAATAACTAAAATCTCCAAATCTTTTGGAGCACTGTAAAATTACCAGGATTTCTGGATTTTTATGCATACACTCAATTGCTTGGCTTAGTATATCTGAATGTCTCCAACCATTATCATGCAATTCCTTGTTTCTCTATGTTTGAAAAGAACAGGGCGCATAAATTTCTAAGTGAAAGCTACTTAAAATGAGCAATTTACATCACAAGATATATACTCGCTATGTAAGACTTTAGTAACCACATGACATGTTAGCTTTCATTCATGAGCCCGCAATGCTTTTTAGCAAATTGACATGCCGATTCGCAGCTGACTAGATGGAAATAGTACCAGAAAGTCAACAGTTTATCCTTACCTTACAGTTTCAAGATTGTAGGTGGTGATTATCCAATAACAAAGCAGTGACGGCAGATGTACAAGAAGATTTTTGTGAAAGACAATTACAACAGAGATCGTCTATGGTTGTAAAATATAACAATTGTTCCATTTGTACTCTATGTGACCCCTAAAATGCACATGGTCACTTTGATTTGACAATATCTAAAAAGAACTACCCATGTGTATCACGAGTCGGCCAATAGGAACATATAATCCAATGTACTAAGAGATTTCATGACATAGTAGTACTCATAATACAGCTGTCGGAAAATAATTAAACTGAAGTCCCTCGTGTGTTTGTCTGCAACAGCTTGCAAATTGCATAACAAGAAATACCTACCTCCAGCCAAATACTAGGGTCTTGTAAGTAAAAACGAAGCAGATGAATACAAAGGACTGGAAAACATAAATGATCCATGGAGCAAACAATGGTCCCGTGATTCGTTCAAATTTAGCTCTTAAAATCAGTTTAATATGACAAAAAACAGATACAACAAACATAAATCAACCAACTAAGACCGACCACACATCCACTGATCCAAAAACATATCCCAAAAATTCAAAGCTCAGACATGGAGATCAACATATACGCTGCAGAGTTGAGCATTCGGCCAAATATTGGGGCCTCATAACTTATATCTCGCAAGTAAAAGCAACGCAATCGAATAGAAAGGACTGTAAAACAGGATTGATCCATGGAGCAAACGATGATCCAGTGATTCGTCCGCTCCTAAAATCAGCTGAATATGATTTTAAAAAAAAAAAAGAAAACAAAAAGAAAGAAAGATGATAACGAACACAAATGAACCAACTACGACCGACCACATATCCGCTGGTCCAAAACAAATATTCGAAAAATTCAAAACTCAAACAGGAAGATCAACATACACGCTGCAGGTTATAACATTAAGATGAGAATTACTTCATTTCTCGACCAAAAAAAAATGCGAACCTGTCTGGCTTTGGGAGGCTGGGTTTCCATTTGCGAGCATCCTGATTACGCAAAAAATCATACAGATCCTACTTGCTAAATCAATTTGGAAAGGTTCGTTGAGAGAATTTGAAATTTAGAACGGCAATGAAGGTGACGTCAGGCGAGCGTTTGGGCGGGATTAAATGAGGCTACGCGGGAATGTACATGAAAGCGTGAAAAAAGGTTCGACGAGCCGATGAATACATACAAGCGTACAGTGGGCGGGTAAGCAAACGATAATGGGCTGTTAAAGTTTTTCTATTTATTGGGCTTTTTGTGTTACGGGCTTATATTTGGAAAATATCCATGAACATATCTTTCACGCAAGTTCGTGCCTTTTTGGGCTTTCAATTACTTTAGCTTTTGTGCATAGGAAGAAAACAAAATAGCGCGATTCGAATAATCTCATTTGTTCTATTTCGTGCTATTCGAATCCTATTTCGGGTCGTGCTATATGGTGGTCCTCATCATATCATTTATTTATATAAATGTATTTTAAAAGTTTACCTTGTTCGTATTCCATATCATGCAAACTAGAGTTGTTAACAAACCTAAAGTTTGTGAATGAAAGTTTGTTTGAGCTTATTCGTCTTCATAGTTCATTTGTTTAATCCAGGTGAGTTTATATTTGCAATTAATTTAATATCAAGTTGTTTTACTTTTATATTTGTACGCATGATATGTTTAAAAAGTTTAAAAGCTCAAAGAATTTTAACAAATAGAGCTCAAGTCAATCAAACAATTTTAAAAAATTCTTTACTAAATTATTTGAATGTGAACGAACTCAAAGTTTGACGAATAATGAAATTAACGAACTTACGATTTTTTACTTGTACACGATATGCTCAGACTCGACTCACTGCAAACCATTGTGGTACCTAATTGTGGGTGTAGATATATATAGTAATTCATGCATTTTATAAAAATAAGTATGATAATGAATCAAATCTACTTTACCGGTATAAATTGGATCTAAAGTGTTAGATTTCAATCGAGTGATTTATATTATAATGGCCATTAATTCAGATCCATTAAAAGACGGTTGGTGGAAGTCCTCTTTGAAACGTCCAACAAATTAAGTTAAGAAAAAGACAAAGAATTTCCAATATCTTAAGTTTCAAATTTTGTTGTCAAAGCACCACTTGTGTAAGAAATTTTGGAAAATGAAAATCAGATCTTATGGGACCATCTCACTATAAATTACAATCTCTATAACAACAGTTTCGATGTGTGATAACTTCATCACCTACAATTTTATTAAAATAAAATAATTCACAAACTAATAGGTTTTTCGATAATATTGTATGATGAGTTCCAAATTAAAGTTGGAGCTTTTTTATTCGAGTGGAATTTGGATGAACTTTATAAGTACGGTCCATATGAGTAGTTCAATAGAAAAATTTCACAAGGGAAGTTCACGAAATTTTAAACTTCTTTATTGTTAATTAAATCACTGGACATACTAACTTATAGAAAACCATATATATATATTCACTGCTTGAATGAACTTGAATATAAATTTTAAGTAAAGTTACATAAAAAGATCATGACAATTGATTAACATATACTAAATAAGGTAAGTAACAAATAAAAGACAACATTTGGACACGAGCATAAGCCTAGTCTCCAATATAAAATCCATATTTCATCATATTGGAAACAAAATTTGAACAGGACCAACTATCATATCAATTCATGTCCAAAATTTGGTCGTATCAAATGACAAAAGTATGAATCTCGATTCTCGACACAACTGAATTAGTTAGGATAACCTTAATTAACTTGCAATATGTCCCAAACTATAATATATAATTGTATTGCAACTTGAAATTAAAATATCACTACATACATGATCCATTAAATCGACATTGCATGGATTGAGTATTGAACTGTTTGAATCATACGAGCTCACACCTATAAATATTTGTCGATCTAACGGCTCAAATTGGGTATGAATTGTCAAGATTGTCATTATTGGGCGTGCTATAACTCGAGTATTTAGTCCAAAAGAGACTATAGTTTTAAGATTATAATGTACAAAGCGAGTAAAAACTATAAAGTTGAAATGAAA